AGGAATAGGAAATAATAGGTAAATTGGACTTCATCAAATTAATGACTTTTGTGCTTCAAAGGACACCATCGAGGAATTCCCTGGTCATCCAGTGGTTAGGACTCTGATCTTCCACTGCAGGGAGCACAGGTTTGATCCCTGGTTGGGGAACTAAGATCCACATGCCGCTCGGCCAAAAAAAGAAAAAGGACACCATCCAGAAAGTGAAAACATCCTTAGGAATCCTTGTGTGCTATTGCTAAGGCTATTAAATTGTGTCGCCAGGATGAAAAACAACATAGCAGTTCATCAAAAATTTGGAACTGAGTTACTGTTTGATCTAGCAACTCTACTTCTGGGTAAGTACTCGAAAGAATTAAAAGCAGGAACTCAAACAGATATATGTCCACTTGTGTGTCTATTAGCATTATTCACAATAGCCAAAAGGTGGAAGTAACCCAAATGTCCATCAACAGATGAATGGATCAAAAAAACTTGGCGCTGGGGCTTCCCTGGTGGCACAGTGGTTAAGAATCCGCCTGCCAAATGCAGGGGACACAGGTTCGAGCCCTGGTCCAGGAAAATCCCACATGCCACGGAGCAACTAAGCCCGTGCGCCACAACTACTGAGCCTGCGCTCTGGAACCGATGAACCACAACTACTGAGCCCAAGTGCCACAGCTACTTAAGCCTGCATGCCTAGAGCCCATGCTCTGCAACAAGCGACGCCACCGCAGTGGGAAGCCCGCACACCACAGCGAAGACCCAACACAGCCTAAAGAAAGTAAAAAAATTTTTAAATTAAAAAAAAAAAAACTTGGCACTTAACATTCCATGGAGTATTACTTGGCTTTAAAAAGAAAGCAAATTCAGACGTGCTACAACATGGATGAACCTTACAAACATTATGCTAAGTGAAATCAGCCTGTCAAAAAAGGTTAAACCCTGTATGATTCCATTTGTATGAGAACCTAGAGTCGTCAGATTTATAGAAATAAAAAGAGTGGTTATGGGCTTCCCTGTTGGCACACTGGTTGAGAGTCCGCCTGCCGATGCAGAGGACACGGGTTCGTGCCCCGGTCTGGGAGGATCCCACGTGCCGCGGAGCGGCTGGGCCCGTGAGCCATGGCCGCTACCAGGGGCTGGGGTAACGGGATAATGAAGAGGGTTTTTTTCTAATGGGAAAAGAGTTTCAGTTTTGCAAGATGAAAATAGTTGGAGATTAGTTTCACAGTGTCAATTTACTTCCCACCACTGAACTATACAGTTTCAAAATGTTGAAAATGTAAACTTTATGGCATGTGTACATTACCAGAATTAAAAGTAAAAAATTTAAAGCAGGAGAATGGAAACACAACCCACAGAATGGAGGAAAAGTCTGCAAGTTATATATCTGATAAGAAACTTGTCTCGAAAATATCTAAATACCTCTTATAACTTAATTATAAAAAGTCAAATCAGTCAATTTAAAAGTGGCAAAGGATTGAATACACATTTTTCCAAGGAAGATATACAAAGATGGCCCAGAGTATATGAAAAGGTGCTGGACATCATTAGTTATCAAGGAAATGAAAATCAAAACCCCAGGGAGATACCACTTCAAAACCACTAGGGGGCTTCCCTGTTGGCACAGTGGTTGAGAATCCATCTTCCAATGCAGGAGACACGGGCTCGAGCCCTGGTCCGGGAAGATCCCACATGCCATGGAACAACTAAGCCCACGCGCCACAACTACTGAAGCCCGTGCACCTAGAGCCCGTACACCTAGAGCCTGTGCTCTACAACAAGAGAAGCCACCGCAATGAGAAGCCGGCTCACCGCAACGAAGAGTAGCCCCTGATGGCTGCAACTAGAGAAAGCCGGCGCGCAGCAACGAAGACCCAATGCAGCCAAAAATAAATAAATAAATAAATTTATTAAAAACAAAACAACAACAACAAAAAACCCACTAGGATGGCTGGAATCAAAAAGTGAGATAACAAATATCAGGGTTATGGGGGGAAATTTGACCCTCATAAACTGATGGTGTGAATATAAACTGGTGTAGCCACTCTGTAAAGCAGTCTTGGAGTTCCTCAAAAATTAAACCTAGCGTTATCATATGATCCATTAGTTCCTCTCCTAGGTATATGCCCAAGAAAAATACATGTTGGAACAAAAACTTGTACATGAAATTTATAGTAATGTTATTCATAGTAGCCAGAAGGTGAAAACATACCAAATATCCATGAACAGATGAATATATAAACAAAACATGTTTTATCCATCCAATGGAATATATTTCAACCATAAAAATGAACAATTGATACCTGCTACAACACGGTTGTCCCTTTTTAAAAAGTTATGCTACATCAATGAAGTCAGTCACAAAAATCATAGATACTAGGATTCTTTTCATATGAAAACCCTGAAAAGGGAAATTTATAGAGACAGAACGTAAATTAGGCATTGCCTAAGGCTGGGGTTTGGAGGAGGAAGATGGGAATATTGGGGGTGACAGATAAAGGGGAGACAGTTTTCTTTTTGATGTGACCAAAATGTTCAAAAATTGTGGTGATGATTGCATTTATCTGTAAATATACCAAAAACCACTGAATTACACACTTTAAAGTGGTGCAGTGTATAGTATATACATTATATCATAACAAAGCTGTTGAAATAAGTAAATAAATGCATTAAGCACTTTGCAATGCAAGAGTTTTGCAATCCAGTCTCTTCAGCATCTTGGAGTTTCCAGGTTAACACATCCATCACCTCACATTGTTTGTGTGTATGTGTGGTGAGAATTCTTAATCCACTATCTTAACAAATGTACAATATAGTATATGTAGATCAGAAAATCATCACATTGTAATCTTTAAATATAGACAATTTTATTAATCAATTATACCTCAACAAATCTGGGGGCGGGGGAAGAGGTTCCAGGTGCATCTCAAATTTACATAACGATCTATTGTTTTCTTATATTAGTGAAATAGGAATCAGTTGTCTTAGGAATATTATAATCGCTTACATTTCAAGTTCTCTAGGGACAGAGGCAAAAACTAATCTAAAATAAATTTCCTTACCTGAGAATTTAATGAATACATCTCACACCCTGTGCTTAGACTGTAAAGAGTCCCTGAGCCCAACTAGGACTGTAGGGTTCAAACTTCCAATCAGAGTCAAGTGCTTGGGATTCTGTCTCTTAAGTACCAAATGAGTGGGGTTGGACCACGGATGGATGGATGAAGGCTCAGCGCTGTCAAGGATCAAAGATTAAAATGGATGGAATTCCCTGGCGGTCCAGTGGTTAGGACTCCATACTTTCACTGCCGAGGGTGCAGGTTCAATCCCTGGTCAGGGAACTAAGATCCTGCAAGCTGCGCAGCACAGCCAAATTTTAAAAAAATAAAAAGTAATTTAAAACTGAAGATTAAGATGAAGCCAGATTCTTTATTACAGATGGTGAGGTCACATTTCAGTTTCTGTGTTTCTGAAAAAGGGTCACAGTTCCATGAGTGGCCTCCCAGCCTTACACCAAACCCTTGAGAAATAAAATACTGCCTGCCTGCCATGTCAGTAAACAAAGGACGTTACATTTATCAGCAACTGCAGTGAGCCGGGGAGCCCTGAGGGAACTCAGGAAGGAAACAAAGAATACCTGCCATCTAGCAGCCATCAGACTGCAGCCACTCCCAACAGTGGTGAGCCCTGAAGAAACTCAGGATGTGAAAACATAGGATACTATAGCTGAGGTACACATCAAAGGAATGATGTCAATGAGTCCAGACTCTTGCATCTTCCCATAGATAGAAAAGTGCTAAATTCCTTAACTTGAGATATCTAGTTTTGTTTTATTAACAGTAATCTTTTGTTCCTACTACCTGCCCTTTGTTGCAAAACTCCTATATATCCTAGCTGCCCCCTCACCTCCTCAGAGCAATCTTCTCAGGGTTGCTTAAGATGCTGCCTCCCAGGCTTGAAGTTCTCAGTATGTCTGCCGAATAAAACATAACTCTCAACTTTTAGGTGGTGAATATTTTTTTGGTCGACACCCTTGGCCCCTAGAGAACTCAAGACCCTCTTTTCCAGTGTGGCCAGGTGTTGGGTTGCACCCTGCAGGTTTGCAAACCCATTAACTGCCCAGTCTCAAGACCAAAGAAAGAGCCCGGAATCAGCCGTAGAGAAATCAGTGGTTTAACGGATAGGGGATCTTACATGTCCAAAGCAGAAGGCCCCTGGAGCTACACCCAACTGTAGACAGCAGATGTCAGGCAGAACGGTCTTCGTTGGGTGGGAGTTACCAGTAATGGAGGAAACTGACCTCAGATTGGCTCATCAGTTACCAGGAAACCTCACCACCCCTTTGCTAAGCTATGAAAGTGGAGATAGTCTGATGTGAAGATTAGAACAATCAGTGGCCGGGGCAAGTACCTAAGCATTTACTGATTAGGCTCTAAGATTAAGAGGGAGGATCAGTCATGTGAATAGGGTGTAGGTGAAGCAGGGCCTGGTAGAGCAGGGGATGTACAGAGAGCAAGAGAACAGCCATCTTGGGTGGCCTGATCATACACCTGCCTGGGCTACCCTCATGCTCTGTTCTTAGTTGCTCCATTGGGAAACTCAGAAATTCCCTGCGCTCATGTGTTCATATAGAGCTGGGCGAAAAAGTTCCCTTTCAACGCAAAGGAATCAGGCTGGGTCAGGTTTCCACCCCACCCGCTGCCCTCAGCACGGGTCGGGTCAGGGGCGGGGCGGAAGCTAGTTTCCAAGAGTCACACGTCCTCCCGCCCAGCTGTCACTCAAGCACTGGGGGATGCGGCCTTGCAAACTGTCCAATCAGGGGCGCCTCTTGGGCATGCGGGCGGGGCGACGCACTGCTCTAGCTCGGGCGTTTTCACTCCCTCAGGCCAGGCTAGCGATCCGGTTTCCTATCCTTCAATGACGGTGGTGGCAGTGCCTCAGAGTCTGTCGCGCTGTGACCTGCGGTGGTCGTGGGAGTCGTAGGAAGGATTCAGAGACACCCAGGAAACCTAGAAATGGTGAGTGTGGGTTACCAGGGTGCGGAGTTGGAGCGGGAGGGAAGGAGGCGTTGGTTGGAATTGACCCGAACCAGCTGTGATGGTACCGGGCCTCCCCGCTGTCAACTCCGGAGTCTTGACGACGCGAGTGGCGCCGCTCGGACCTCCGTCCCCTCCGTCCGGCAGCGTGGGGGCGGGGCCGGCAGCCGGGACCCCGGTGTCCTGTTCCGTCACTGCAAGCCGCGGCTTCGGCCCCGGCCCCGCAGCCCCACGTCCGCCCCAGATTGTGTGGTGACCACCGGGAGGGTCATCAGGGGACCGTCGTGACTCGGTCTCCGTGGTTCGTGCGTGAGAGGACCTGTGGTCTGGGGGGTCCCCAGTCCTTACTTTCTCCCAGGGGGCACCCGTTTTCTCTTTGAGTTTTCCAATTATTTGGGTAGCAGTTTCAAGTCCACGACCCTGTCCCCTCAGCCTAGCTCTTTCTAGGGCTGGTAATAAACCCCTAAATTTTCACAATCCACCCCACATTCCCAAAGCCATCTTTCCTTCTGTGATTCACAGCATCATTATCAACTATTTGTCCTCCGTGGTACATTTCAAACAGACCCAGTATTTTAACTTTATCATTTTCCCCCCGAGCCCTGGATGGACCTTTTTTTTCAGTTTACTTTTGTCTGTGGGTGTTTTCCATGAGAAGAAAGCAAAGAATAACCTCCTGGAATTAGGTTGTTCAAAATTCTTGTGCCTCTCCTCCCAGCCTCATTCCTGGGCACAGACATCCTATGGGTGGAGGTTCCTCTTTAAAACTTTCCTGGGTGATATGTGCTGTCAGCGTTGGCCCTCCCTGGGATTGTCACCTTTAAAAGATTTATTCATGTATTTAAACATCGTTTTTCAGTCAGATAAAATGTATTTAATCAATACAGCTTCAAAGACAGTAGTATAAAATATTTCCAAAGAGGCAGAAGTGGTGAATTTCAGAAAAAAATAAAATATTCCAGGATTACATTCCATTTACAAATTCCTGTTTTGCTTTTTTTCTTCCCCCAAGCGTGTGTAGTAAGTTTCTGAGGACTATTCTTTACTTTTGGGTGATATCAAATGAAATTCTCAGATTGTGTGGTGTCTGCTGAGACTTGCAGACCAAGTGTTCCACTGCGATTAATTATTTTCAAACCAGTTTCTTGCTTTGGAAATAATCATTAACTGACATCTTCTCTTCTGAAACGAGTAGATATTTTGTGTTTTCTGGTTGAACTAGTAACAGTGGCTTACAATTTTCTTATCTCCTTTCCACATAAACGATGGGTTTAAATTATTTTGCTGGATTGTTCAAACACCAGGTTTGTGTCAGTTAAAACATCAACCATGTTCCAAAGCAACTCCAGTGCAGAGCAGAGGCCTATAGTCAGTGATCCACGCTTCCTTGAGCCTGTAAAGAGAAGGACTTGCAGGCCCAGTTGTTCTTCCTGGGGAGCCTCCCCTGCAGGTGTCCTACCTGCTTACACCCATCACAGAAGGAGACTTATGCTGAGAGAAGCTACAGAGCCCTGGAAAGCTGGGGGTGCACCTGCAAGGAGGTGGGATTGATTCCCTTTCTGAGGTTGTAGTTGTGGTTCCATAGGCCTAGACATTTCTAGACGTCATGTTTGAGTTGTACATCCACAGTGTAGGTGCACTCAGTGTAATTTGTGCACATTGAGAGAGTCTGTTATGATCACATCCTCTGTCTTGTGGACAAAGGGTTTATAAATTTGGGTCAGAACCTTAAACTGAATCAGGCTGAGAGTTTCCTCACTTGTGAGACTAGAACCTAGTGGAGGCAGCACTTCCATGCTTACAGGACGAGGGAAGTTGTGTGAGCTCCCAGAATTCATTCATGTGGCTCCTCAGCTGTCCCTACCCTCCTTCTCCAGCGACTAACCCACACTAGGGGTTATATCTTAGACCCCAAGTCTGGGAATTTGGTCATCTTTCTGAAAGTGGGCTTTTCTTCTGAACTGTAGCTAGAAGGCTGCTTATCTGTGTTGATTCCAGTATTTGTGTTTCTTTTGTTGTTGTTGTTGTTGGAATCATTCATTACTTCCGTGACAATTTTTAATCCAAAAATGGTATTTGAGTACCAAATTGAAACACTGTGATTTTTAATGGTGGTTTATAGCAGAGCAAATGATTTTATTTTATACAATTTTAAAAACTATACAATTTCTCCTTTTAAGGTGAGTTCCCTCATGCAAGTTCTCCAGGTTTATTGCAGTCGTGTGTGTGTGTGTGTGTGTGTGTGTGTGTAAGAGGTGGCTCTGTTTTGTTCTGGGGTTGGTCCAAAATTCTACCTTAAGGAGGTTTAATAAGCCAATATCAATTTCCAAGTACTTTGCAAAAATTGTTAAATTTTTCACATAAATACTGGAATCCTCAAAATCACACAGTCATTTCAAATATGTGTTTCTTTCTTTGGATTTCTTTCTCAACTGAAGATTGCAGTTCTTTGACTCTAGTTTCCATTAGCTTTGGGGCTTTTAGTGTGTAAGTTGATTGAGAGATACGATGTGAGTAAAGCAAGAAAATTGTGGAACCAATTAGAATTTTGTTCCATTTAGACAAAAGAACTTCAACAAGAGATGGGTGTGAGATTTAAGTGCTCAGGTGCTTTTTCCATTAAAAAAATTTATTTATTATACAATTTTTAAAGGTTATACTCCATTTACAGTTATTAAGTATTTATCTTTCTCTGACTTATTTCATTTAGCATAATGCCCTCCTGTCCCTAGGGAACTTTGACGTTTAAAAAGGTCATGCTATTCCTAAAGCAAATAAAGTCTTATTTTAATGGCGGTGAGGAAAAAACAATTGAATTTATATTTCTGTTGATATGAAGAAAACACCTCAAAGCTTATATACATCTTTTAAATTCCTAGTCTGTTTCAGGGTTTAATTGCAAACCCCTAATATTTTACATTATGCCACTCATTCCTGAAAATATCCCCAGCGTGAAATATAGTGGAGGGACAAACTATAATGTTCTTGTCCTTTTAGTTAGAAGGGGATTTGTAAATCTTTGACGGTGTGCAGTTTTATATTTGTTAGCATTTAAAGGATTAAATCTTGGAGTGGTTTCCTATGTAGAAAAGTTAAAATTAATTTTAAAAAGCAAAAATTAATTTAAAATAATGATTAAGCATGGGAAAATATGACATATATCAATTTCTCTCCTGATTTTAAATAAACGATGCACATGAGGGTTAAAAAATATTCCTAAAATAAGAAACTTAAGAAGACTCCCTACCTACATATCCTCCTCCACTCCTGTACTCTTACTCCACCCACTCTCAAATTACCAGTTTTTGATTACTTCTTGATCATCCTGTTAATGTTTCTTTATATAAAAAGAACCTAGTGCGAATGCGTGTTTCTCTTACCTGGGTTTGTTCTTTTCGGGCCTCCCACTGTTGTGGCCTCTCCCGTTGCGGGGGCAACAGGCTCCGGACGTGCAGGCTCAGCGGCCATGGCTCACGGGCCTAGCCACTCCGCGGCATGTGGGATCTTCCCGGAGCGGGGCACGAACCCGTGTCCCCTGCATCGGCAGGTGGACTCTCAACCGCTGCGGCACCAGGGAAGCCCTGGGTTTGTTCTTATAATGAGTAGTCAGGATCCACATATTTGATGTTTGACTACTGAAAGATAAGCCTCACCCCTCCCTTTTCCCCTAGTGCTTCTTATCAGGACAGGCTGATAAGAAAGCCTGGAGGCTCCTGCCCTGTGAGCTGCTGTTTGCTGGGGTCTCCTCCTGTGCGCTGTGCTGCCCTGTGTGGCGTTGCTGATCCACCAAGCCTGGGCTCTATATACAGAGGCAGTTTTGGTAATTCCTTGTCTTTTGGGAGCAGGAGCCCTGGGGCCCTCCTTATAGTGGTCCTGAGTCCATGGCGTGGATGGAACCTATTTGTGTTTGGAGTGAAGGTGTGACTGAGGCTGGGTTCACCCAGACCTTGGGGCGAGGGGTGATCTTTGGGGAGTACTCGGATGATTATACCCTGTGAATGAGGTGAGCCCCTTGGATGGTCACTCCGAAAAGAACACTTATTCCAGAGAGAAAGAGAAGAGAGGGTAAAGGTAGCCAGTAGGTGCCAGGCTGAGTCCGCTCCTAATACCAGAGGGCTCACCAGGACCCTTAAGTACCTCTGCTGCTGCTGCCCCTACCTCTACTGCAACAAAGATCCTGACCCTCTGAGTTATGGTGGACAAAACCCATAGCCTCATTGTGGCACAGCAAAGGGATTAATTTAAAACAATTTAAGCCTAGGGTGCTTAATTTCTTTTTTTTTTATTTGCGGTACGCGGGCCGCGGAGCACAGGCTCCAGAAGCGCAAGCTCAGCGGCCACAGCTCACGGGCCCAGCCACTCCGTGGCACGTGGGATCCTCCCAGACCGGGGCACGAACCCGCATCCCCTGCATCGGCAGGTGGACTCCCAACCACTGCGCCACCAGGGAAGCCCAGGGTGCTTAATTTCTGTAAAGTAACCAGTTATCATGAAGGAGGCCTCTGACCCTGATGGCACTGGGGTGAGGCTCTCTGGAGGAAAAAAATGATCAATACAAGAGAAAAGAGGACACCCTCTCGCCCAGAGTATATCCAGTGACCTAAAATGCAAAACAGGGAAGAACTGGAGGGAGGGAACAAGAGAAGAAAGGTACTGAAACAAAGGAACACAATTTCACTCAATTGTAAATCCAAAATATGCTAAAAAAATTTGCATAGCAAAAAGATGGAAGGGGCCTGCTTGGTTTTGGGTCCTCTATAATATGGGTTTGATTAACATTAACAACTCCTGTACTGTACTAATTCACAAAACTTCATGTAATTAATCAAAATAGGTTTCAAATTACAGGTATACCTGGGGATCCCACTAAATTTAAACAATTTACCTCATCATCTTAGGAAGAATTACTGAATATAATATAAAGGACAAATAGGTATAATTTGCCTTCAGCAGCAGAACTCTCATGTTGCCTAAATTTCTCATAGTCATATTGCCCATTGTCCCAAAATATCCCATAGTGAGCAGGAAAGCTCTGAACCCATGGTTCATTAAGTAAAATTAAATTGTCTTCTACTTCCAAATTGGCTAGACAAAATGAGACCCCAGAGAGAGACCTTAAATTGGTTAATATGGCCTGATTTAAATTAAACAAGGCCTTGAATTATTGAAAACCATTATAAGAAATGTATGTAGGGAGAAGTGATTACCGCCAATTTTCTTCTTTAATAGCCTTATTTGGTCTGCCCTTAAACCTGGAAAGGGTGAATGACACCTCATAGTGGATTACAGCAACCCGAGTTGTGGTTGCATCAAATTAGCCCCTATTCCTAGTCTCCAACATTATGGAAATTACTTACTCCATCCAATCAGCAGCTGGTAAATATCCTGCTCCCACAGATTTGATAAGTCTGTTCTGTTCAGTGCCTATTTCAACACCCTCTCAGCTGCAGTTGCCTTCACCTCTGAAGGGACATGATACACGTTTACCTGGTTACCCTCAGGGAACCTCAGCAGCTTGGCCATCCCACAGTCTCTGCAGGCAGATCTGAACTGCATGCATTTTGTTCCAGGAGCACAGGTACGACATCACACTAACAACATCCTCCTCTGAAGACATTCATTTCTCATTCATTCAGAACATACAATTACTGAAAAAAGGAGCTTGCGAAAAGTGTATGGGCCATTGACCCCACACATATGTGAGGCCCTTGGTTAAGTTTCTGAATGTTTTTTGGTAATTAGACAGCTGTTCCCTCCCTGACAATGTGAAGAAATATCTGTAATCCCTCTCAGCACCTACAAGATCTACTAGGTTCTTTTGGTGTTGGGGAGACAGCATATTCCTTATTTACGAATTTTACTTGAGCCCATTTTTACTATTACTTGGAAATTGGCCCCTACCTTGAGGGCACCCCTACTACAGAAGGCTCTGGACTATGTTTAAATGGCCATACAACAGGCATTCCT